TTCCAACCTAAACAATTCTATGATTCTATGATTCTATCTCATCACACCCACATGGACTAAAGGGAACATAGAGGAGACAGGAGTGTGCTACTGAAGGAATTTTTAGGCCTTCCCATGAATGTTGTGCTTAGCTTGCTCCAATGACTCTTGCAAAGAGCTTTTTCTACTTGCTCCAGTTCTCTCTGGAGCAACAGGATTTTCCCAAATGCACACCAAGTATTTCCCACAGGGTAAGAGGTCAGGAAAGACTGCACTTTTCCCTGGCCACAGCTCCACAGAATAGAGAAGAAGAGGGCCCCTGAATACTCCCTACTTGTAATGAACCACCTCTGTCTGAAGGTTTGTAGGAACACAAATTCGGTACATTCAGCTCATGCACTGACATTTTGGGACATGCATGCAGATCCCTATGAAAAAGAAGCTGGAGAATTATCCTCATCCCTAAATTATGGACCATCATATAAATACTGTTATATAATATTCAGCCCAGCTAGCAGTTTCCACTTAGGAAGAAACCTAGGTGAGATTCACAGGGCTGAAGGAGGTTAGCGGGTAACGTGTGGGCAGTGCTGCGTAATGGAAGCTTGAACAGCACATATCCACGCTGCATTTGGCTCTAGCCAAAATGAAGCCACGGTATCACTTTCATAAGCATCTGGTTTGCACTGATGAAAACAGTGATTCTTTCCCCAGATATACCTATTACCAACTTCATATCTAAATGAGTAAGGAGATTGTAGTGCCAGCTCTCTAGTTACTGAATGAAAAACAGACTTTGCTGGGAGTGAGCTTTGAACAAAACTGTAAAACAGAGAAGGGAAACTATAAACAATAGCTGCAGCTATAACCCCAAACTAGGCAAAATCCACCCAGCATGACTAGCAGTAAATACTCAAAAGAATCATAAGGCAAAGTATGTAGGTCTGGTATCTGCAAATATGGCAAATACAACCTCCTAAAGTTTATAAAGGTACTAAAATGTCCACTAGAGAGACCAAGGATTGCCACCGGACCGATGGAGCCAGAGCCCCACTTGCAATTGTTGCATTTTCTCTCCATGGCTCTCTACCTTAAGTTCCCCTGCCCCAGACAGAACTGAAAGATGGTAAAAAGAAAAAATGTTCCCTACTTGCTTAAGCAGGCAAATCTAATAAAAGGCAAAATGAAAAAAGCAATCCCAAAGACCAGATGGCACTACCACAAAGGTTTAGGGAGATGCGAATGTGTGTTTTCATGCATACGTGCCTCTTTGCACAAGATAAAATCCTGTATGTAATGGGAATTTGTAGAAATTTTAATGCCAATTGGTATTAGGAGGCAATAGGAGAGCAAAAGCATCCTTTACACTAGCATGTGGGGAAGGGATGCAAGCACGGAACATGTGGACATGCAGTCATGTCCAGGACAGTAAAATGGGCTAACAGAATTCAAATTACACATGCCAAGTCCTTCAGAGGATAAGTCAGGCTGAATTACTGAGGAACAAACCACCTATCTTTGTGCTATACTTTTCATACTTTCATGGCCTTCTTGCCATTAACCTGCAGTAATCCCTCTCTGTCTCTGACACAGGCAAAATTGAGCATTAGCAAAATTTTATGGATGGAACAGCTGGAAGACGGAGACATTGAAAACCATATCCACAATGACAGACCACTGAAACTAGCAGGAATTTTAATGCCTAACCTATCTTTGTGTGTCCCTGCAAAACCCAATATCCACAGTTTCAGCTGCAAACAGAAGTCTAGCCAGTGCTTTAACACAGATGCTTGGGGTTTGTTTGTTCTTGTCCCTTTGCCTCCAGCCTCTCCCCTCTCTTCAGGACAAATCCCCACCATTTCTTGTCCCTTTCCCCCCCAAAAAAAAAATCATTGAAAGATACAGATTTCTCAAATTAAAAAATAACTTTCCATTAAAAAAAAAATTTAAAAAATAGAAACAGAAGCGTTACAGAATGCAATTTATCCCATAGTTGTGTTTGTTCTAGAAACCCATGACTTACCAGTACTAAAGAAGCCAAAAACACCAACCCGGTAGTTTGCCGTCACAACAATGACATTACTGATGGCAGCTAGGTATGATCCATCTATGGTTGTCTTTCCCACCTCAGCATTGTAACTCCCTCCGTTGTGGAAGAACAGCAACACTGACATGTTTTTGACCTGCTGTGACAACAACCAGGTTAATATTCCTGTAGCCAACTGCTTTTGTACGTCACTGATGAGAACACAAGCATCTTCCCCATTAACATTATCTAAGCCATTCATAGCTCTTTAACAGTGACCATAATGAGGGGTTACCTGGCCATCTGTCTGAAATTCTAGAGCTAAATTGCCCACAGTGACCTATATACTATTAAAGAGGACACTATGACCAGTATAAAGAAGATTTAGTGGCACCACTATGTTCCACCAGCCAACAACTCTACCAGGTTAGCTCAAGGCAGACCCATCCTGCTGACTTGGTCATTGAGCATGTGGTGGGCTCGTCTTTGCTGTAATGTGTCTGCTTTACACAAACACGCAGGATAAGTTCAAACAAGTGGGAAGCAGGAGAAAGAAAAGGCCTGTTGGATGGCTACATCTTGAGCAGGACTAACTCAATAGCTGTGCAGGGCTGCTTCCTACTCTCAGGTCTTCAGCATTTAAACACTGCCTAGCCTCAAAAATGTCACTTGACAAGAGCTCCTCATTGCTCCTTCAATCCCCATGGAGGTTTTCCCCCACTAGATATATAGAAGGGCCCTGCAGAGACCACTTTGTCTCTGCATGGGCGACACTCACCTCTCGTGAAGCACAGAGGGTGTCTGCCCCAAGAGAGCCCAGCAGGAGTGCCGGCATGGGAAGGAGCTATGGTGGGCTGCTGCCCGTGTGAGCACTCCTTGCAGAGCCACATGATTTTACTCGGAAATGAAGGCTTTTTCCCAAAGCAGCACCCCGACTGTGTAGACCCTCTTTGTACACATAGCAGGGCTGCAGCCAGGCTGCTGCTGCATGAGCAGCACAAAAGCAGAACTGCCCCAGGAGACCTCAGCATTTACCAGCAGATTACAGCTCTGTCAAGATGACACTCAGAAGAAATACCAGTGAAATATGGAGGGGTTTTGTTTAGTTTTTTGCTTTTTTTTTTCCCTTCCTGCTGCAAAAACTAGAATAAAGTGCTCCAATGCGAAAAAGTTTTTTTTGAAGTGTAACATCAATTTTCCTTTCAGCACTTTCATCCCTGATTGCCCACTTTTGGACTATCCTGAAGGAGGCTCCTCTCTTTTCTGCTTAACAGTGGGTCAGCCCAACCCACCCGTCCTGCTTTCTGCTTTGGCAACTGCTGGTGTTTTTCAAAGAAGGGCTGGTGGCCCCTGCAGCAACATCAAAGTACATCTGAGATTTGTTTTTCTCTGCAGCTAGAGGGCATTGGGCTCTGTTGCTGTTATTTTCTGGATGGAGTTTAGCTAAACACAGCAGTCCCATCTGCTCTGGCAAAGGATGTCTCCAGCAAAAACGCAACTGGCTGTACGGGAGAAGCAGCAGAGAAGTGATGGTTGCAGCCTCCTGGAAAAATTACAGGATAGGAGGCAAAATCCCCTCAGCTGCCCTTAATTTGTCATGATCATGTGCACTCCTCACTTATCTATCTGTAGAATCACTTCAGAGGTTTCTTGTGAACGCAACAATGTTACCAAGAAAACCCCAGAAATTGCAAGCACTGAAACATGCTGCTCTTTCTCAGGAACTTCTGCTCCTGAATAGAAATTGCCTAATTCACAGTGCCTTGCTCCTGGTTCCCATTTCTGCACCACATGCAGCACAGACAGAGAGATGGGGCAAAGAAAAAACTGAAAGAATCTGTTTTCACATGGAAATTCATTCTAAAATACAACCACATCAAGCCATGTCAGTTAAAATGATATTAAACATGATGTTTAGCCCGCTCCATCCCCTCAGCTCAGCATGGTTCCAAGTAGGCATTTCCCACTTGTCTATAGCCTGCGTAGCACCATGACCTCCATCTGCCCTGTAAGTTGTATATTACGTTATGCTGAGTGACCTTACACAATGCTCTAGAGATGAAAAGCTTAAGAAAGGCAAAGACTAGAGATAAAAGTTAGAAATGGCAAAACAAAGCCTGCTGTAACAGACATGGAGCAATTCGGGGGAAGATTTAGCACCAGGGCTGTGCCTAGTGCCAAGTGTCTGGAGGTAGCATTCCCATTTCTAGTCTGCATTAAGCAATGACAGATCCCTCTCCAATGTGAAGGTGAACTATCATGAAAAATAATTTGAGGTTTACTCCCAAGGGATTTCAGTGTCAGAGCTCATGGATTTGGGCATTTTAGATGAGGGCTGTTTAATAAAATTGCCTTCCTATTTCTTGTTAGCCATTTTAACAGCATAGCACAATTATTTTCATGCTGTAATTGAACTGTGCCTGACAATATGAGATATTTCATTTGACCTATCTACCTATATATATATATATATATATTTGGTAGCCAACTAATTTTTTACTATACATCATCTGCTGGATAATTTATTTTGAATCTAAGTGAATTTCCCCCAAGCCTTGTTCTCAGCCAGATTCAGCCAACCGCTGCAATTAAATCTGTGAGGCAGAAGTAATGCAAGACCTTAACCAAAGCCTGCTGGAGCCAGTCTCTTCGCCCACCACCACTTGGTACCAGGCTGAGATGCAGCACTGCCAGCGTCAACGCCAGGATGCGGTGGGGCACACATGGGGCAATGCCAGGCAGAGTGGGGCCAGCACATTCCCTGCAGACAAGCCACAGCTGCCACGTGGCTACTGCCCAGTGCAGGGTTTTGCTCCATACTTAGCAACAAAACGCAATCGCACTTTGAGGTGTAAAGTCTGTGCAAAGACTTTCCAGCTGGGACATGGTCAGATGGCTCCCTGGCTTAGCTAGTGGGGGGATACCTTCTGGGTAGCCCAGCAGCTCCACCATGGTCTCACACTTGTAGGGGTTTAGGTTCCATGTGCAAACCCTCAAAGGGGAGAGAAGTTCAGCATCCACCAGGAAGCTGCAAGCCAGCTGCAAGTCTGAAAGGCTTTATAATATGCAGAACCATCTTCTCCATCCGCCCGTAAAATACTTGATGAGCTACTTGGCAGGGATAGATTTAAACTCTACCAAGCTAGGCAGCTTCAAGTGCTTTTACTACTGTATGGTATGGCTCTGTAAAGAATTGAATGCAGCAGGGATGATGTGATAAGGATGGGAATAACACATACAGGGGATGGGAGAAGAGGAGAGAGGGTACACTTTCTATTCTTATTTAGTGGAGAGTTTCAACTCTTGATCTTACATTTGAACCCTTCGGAAATCAAGCTGGAGCACAGCTTTGCTTTGCTAGTGTGACAGGTGGTGATGGTTATAAGTGGAAAAAAGTCTCTCAGAAGTGCCAGTTTTATTTGGAGGGTAATGTGGTACACGTAGCTATGGAGGCAAAATGAGGTGATGTCATTCACCTTCTTCACTGCTTGACACTTAAAGAGTCCTTTGGTGGCAGGCAGCAGTCCCTGCACCGTGCTCTTGTTGAGGCTCAAAATGCTCCTGAACAGCCTCTGCATTCACTGCACTCCAGGAGTTTTTATATTCAGGATTTACTAGTTAATTTAACTTTCCGTAGGCTAAAAATATATAACTATAGCTTTCTGCATGTGAGTAAAAAATAGAGCTTGCCACAAAAAGAAACAGGAAAATGCCATGCTTTCTGCTCCCAGTTACTTCTGCAAAAACAGAAGTTTTGGTTCTCTCTTGGGCTAGACTTATGCATGTGAAACTGATTGACTTGACTGGACCTACTTCTACCTTATACCTCTACAAAAGACAGGATGGATTCAGTTCTCAGTACTGCTAAGGAGAAAAGACAAGCCAGTTTAGTGTATCAGATGGTAGAAATACAATGCTTGCAAATAAACTATCTTGAAAGCAGCACTTAGGCAGAGATGGCAAACTGCCTGGGACAGTGACCCGATGTTTTCAATAAGCAATGACTGCATTCAAGGCAAAATGACAGTCTGATGCTGCAGGGAGAAAACAGACTGCCGGTCTTTCTGGTGATTAAAAGGACCTGCAAGGGACTGTGTGTGCTGCTGTCAGATAGCTAGATCAGCTCTTTCCAGACATGCAGTATGACAGACTCATAAATTTCTATTATAACCACCGCCACCTTCTGAAAATTACCAGTATTGTGGAAAGAAAAACTCTTTTGCTGTGCTCTGGGTCCACTTTTCAATGGGATTCACATGTTATTCAGTGTCTTTATCCCTAGCCCCCCAGGGGTTTGGCCAGTCATCTAAGCTTGGCTTTAACTTTTATATCTGTTTAGAATGAGAAATTCAAGAGCTTTCAAATGACAATTTCTCAGATTGTACCATTGGCCCAGTCATCTTTAAAACATCTATTTTTATGCTCTGTGAGCTGGGCACAAATCTAGCATTGCTTGCTACCCTCATTCTTCAACAGAGCTCCCATGGATGTCAACAGGGGAAGAGTAAAGATGAGGGTGAAAAAACCCCATCTGCTGCTGCTCGACTGGTGGTAAGTGTCGATGTGATGTATGGTATTGCATTATCGTCTCCTGGACAAATGGTATCATTTCAGGGATACTGCCATTTCTGTCTTTAATTTCTCTTCCTTTGCTGCCACCTTCTTCTTGTGTTTTCTTTCCCTCTTTGTCTCGCTCTTATTTGTAGCTTTTTAATTTGCTACCTTCCTAGTTACCCAAACACAGCTCACTGAAAGCCCATAGGGCTCTTGCACCAGTAAAAACTAGAGAGTGCCTAATGTAACCTTGCAGGGCTTTGTGAACGCCGCATGAAAAACAATCATTCATGCCAATTAAAAGTACTTTGAAAAGAGACAGTGCTCAGCTACAAAAAAATTTGACTCGTCCCCTACTTACAGTGGTGGCAGGAACAAAGACATTCAGATATAGGCAGTCTTCACTGACAGAGTATGACGGGGCCTCTCCATCTCCTGGCTGCCAACAAGCTGCCCTAGAGACACAGATTGAGAAAATTACAATAAAAAGGCTTGTACTCTTTTTCCACTGCTGCTATTTCCTTATATTTTGATGCATTAATTTTGTAACATCTTTAAATCTGTAGATCTCAATCACATTTAAAACTATGTCCACCTAAATCTTAGTAAGAAGTATGTGGGTTTGTATACATATACACGAATGCAAAAAACACATTGTATTTTCATGTCTAGAAGCCTTCCCTCAGAAAGCCAGCCTCAGCTTAAAAAAAATCAGAACTTGAAAATAAGCCTTCAGAAAACTCACACTTTACATAAACTGCACAAAATTAGCACACGATGTAAGGGGAGCAGGACTGGGGGTCTCAGGCACAGGTCTCCCTCTGCTATCACCTGCACATCTGGGTTATCCACTCTTTTGCTGAAATGCCAGTTATTTATTTTAATTCCTAATAGTCTGTGGGCTACATTTATGTATATTTATTTTAATTTCTAATAGTCTGTGGGAAAATATGGTAAGTTTAAAATTTTAATGCATTTTTAAAATCTGTTTGTTCTAAGCATCATAGCAGACTGTTAGCAGTGCCCAGCAATGTTAAAAGCAACCTTTCAATAGGAATTCAGCCAGCCAGCCACGTACAGAAAATAATTTTCTGGCTATCATCTGTATGAGATTCATATGCTCGAGCTCTCTCCACAACAAGAATCAAGTGGATGACTTTTGCAGTTCAGATATAAGCTATTTTGAAGAGTTCCTTCTACTTCACAGCCATATTTATATCACATAAGTTATGGAAAAGCATCACAAGTTATTAGGGAAGAAGCCAAAAGAGGCTATGGAAAAGACAGTAATATCTCAGAGAATTATTTCTAAATTATCATTTTTAATGCCCTTGTAAAATTTTATGCTGAAGGTGTGAAGAATTTAATAGAAAACTCCAAGGAAAAGAACCAGCTTTAATGCAATTCTACTAAGTCTTTCCATAAGGGAGGTTCCTAGGATGGTGGTACCACTTAATAGCTTTCACACTGATGTAGAGTAGCACATCATCTCCAACCAAACTGCAAAAGCCATTTTAGGCAGACAAAATACAAATTCCCAGCTAAGAACCCAGCCAGGACAACAGGTCTAACGCTATTAATCGTACAGCTTTCGACAGGGCGGCAGGAATCATCACCTGTGCTCATGGCTATTTTTATTTTTTCCTTTTTTTTTTAGAGACTCATTAAGATTCCCAGCACCTCCAGCTCCCAGGATCTCCTTATGACGGGACTGACTCTGGGGAAAGGCTGCCACCTGCTGAGGCAAGTCCACAGCTCCTCCAGCAGCTGGAGACCCCAACAGGTTTTTTGGTTGGGTTTGTTTGGTTTGGGTTTTTTTTAAAGTCTTTTATCAGGTCCAGGCTGATAAATAAACATTTATCTTCCGTCAGTAATGTCACTGTACTAATGTGAATTTCTTACATACAAATATTGCACAACACCAATATAGAGTCCTAAAAAATATAGATGTCAACACTGCCTGTACACACATAGTGAGGTCCCCCTGATTCTCCAAGTGCACCTCCATGGTGCTAAGCTCAAAGAATTTTTTTTTAACCTTAAATGAATAATAGAAGATAACAGCCAAGTTCTTCATTGGTCTAAGGAAGCACTAAGAATTCAAAAGATAGGAGCAGATTAACTAAGGTCCCTAAACTGCTTTGAAAATCTCAGCCAGGCTGCTCATTGCAACACCAGGTCTTCAAAGAGAGACCACACAGGCAGGTGGCTCTTACCAAAGTCCTAGCAGACACCACGTTGTGGCTGCGGACACAAAGAGCTGATGGTGTGTGTGTCAACCTAACATCACTGTGCACCTGAGGAAACAAAAATCCACGTCTCACCAGATCCCTCCAACACACATGAGGCTGCATGGCTTCTGTGGTTATGCTGTTAACACCTCCACAACTCAGGTGCAACCTGAAGGATGAGACCACTAAAGGCCAGATGCTCTTTCAACTTCTCAAGACAACGCTGCACCTCTTTTCGCTCAGTTCGTCACAGGCTTCCCTAGAAACCTCTGGAGACAAATCCTGAGTAATGGAGGGACAAACAGCTTCCACATAGCTGATAGGTCTCTAAAACTGTAGCCTCAGGGTGTGTTTCCAAGTAGCTGGTGATTCATGTCAGGCCTGCAGGGTGCCATCCTCACAGCTCCCTTGCAAAATCTATCATTTCCTTAACCATGTAAGCTCTTGGCCAGATCAGCTAGCTCAAGTAGTTCGTCACTAAATACATGAGGACCACTCCCCCAGTGACAGGACTGCATGGCAGCCATGGCTGGAAGGATAACGCAGGATCTCAACAGACCTCAGGTCCATATTAGCTGCCTTGGAAGCTCTTGGGTCACTAAACCTCAGCTCTCGGCTCTGATTTCTTCCCTCCAGAGAAAGTTCACCGAGTCCTTCCACCAGACTCTCCTTTTGACTTCTTCACCTTCAATCTCCTGTTTCTTGTCTCTATCATTTTCTTTTTTTTCTTGCAGCTCCTCATGTCTGCCACAAAACAGTCTGCTTTTTATTGATAGGAACATGATCGGGTACCAGCTTTCCTGTATCAACTTCCTGTGTCCATGTGCAGCGTGGCTCACTCAGATGGGTTTTGTGTGCTCTGTAGTTTGCTTTGTATTATGTGGAGGAGGGATGCACTGTGAGAGAGACCCTATAAAAACCACTCCACTTTCATATGTTCTTTCTTGTTGTTGCTGCATTTCTATTTGCTGTGGGTTTTTTAAAAAAGAAATCCACTGTCCTAATGTTCCACAACACAGATATACTAAGTAGTGTCACCTAAACCCTCTTTTCTTTAAGAAACACACATTCGCAATCTATCATTTTGGTTCCCCCATACAACAAAGTTAAGATTCATATTGTAAGACTAAAAGAAACACAAACATGCACGCAAAGGCTATGTCCAACCTAAATGCACCAAACAGTGATGTCTGTACAGCCCTGGAGAGCCAGGGCCAGCCAACAGGAAAAATTAGATATAGGGACTTAAGAGAAATTTAGCCCATCTGCTAATACAGTTCCTAGCACTCATTTCCTCTTAAGACATTACTTAAAATGTTTATAACTTCTGTACTTCTGTCCAAGCCATTTAGCAAGTATTTGCCTTTTAATAGTTTTTGGACAGAAAAGACTATCTGGGTCCTTCAGCCTGATCTCCTAGACACTAGTAGGCAGAGAATTTCTATATGATGCCCACAGCTTCTGGTTACATCAGCATTAAAGCACCCCTGTTTGATTAAATACTCTACAAATTTATGGCTCAGCAGGAGCAAAATGTATTTCTATAAATAGTATAAATACCTGTATAAATACTGAGAATGAAAATGGATTGACAGCAGACAGTCGGTGGGGAGTTATGCATAGATTCAAGGCAATGTACTGTAATCTGCCTTTTTTCTTGTGCTTGCCATGCATCCTGGCTTGTATCAGGAATGCTGTGGCCAGCAGGAGCAGGGAGGTGATTGTGCCCCTGTACTCGGCGCTGGTGAGGCTGCACCTGGAATACTGTGTCCAGTTTTGGGCCCCTCGCTACAAGAAAGACATTGAGGTGCTGGAGCGTGTCTAGAGAAGGGCAACGAAGCTGGTGAAGGGTCTGGAGCACAGGCCTTATGAGGAGCGGCTGAGGGAACTGGGGTTGTTTAGCCTGGAGAAGAGGAGGCTGAGGGGAGACCTTATCGCTCTCTACAACTACCTGAAAGGAGGTAGTAGTGAGGTGGGTGTTGGTCTCTTCTCCCATGTAGCTAGCGATAGGACAAGAGGAAATGGGCTCAAGCTGCACCAGGGGAGGTTTAGGCTGGAAATTAGGAAACATTTCTTCACAGAAAGGGTAGTCAAGCATTGGAAGAGCCTGCCCAGAGAGGTGGTGGAGTCACCATCCCTGGAAGTGTTCAAAAAACGGGTAGATGTGGCACTTCGGGACATGGTTTAGTCTAGTCTACCCTTGATTGGTTTAGGTGGGCTTGGTAGTGTAGGTTAATGGTTGGACTGGATGATCTTAAAGGTCTTTTCCAACCTAGACGATTCTATGATTCTATGATTAACATATAGATGGATAAATTATTATTTTTGCTAAACAAAGTCCCAAATTTGTATTAATCTATACCCTATAGGTTCTTTTGCAAGAAAGGACATGAATATCATGGTCATCAGTCCAGCTACTTTCATACACCTGGATGGAACAAGTGCTTCTGCAGATGATCAAAGGGTTTTCTTACCGAGCCACAGTAGCATTCCAGGTTTCCACCCAAGCAAACGGCTCTGGAGGACTGAAGCGTCTCTCTGCAAGGGGAGGTGCAGCATATGGGATGCCCAGGAACTGGCTGATATTTCTCCACTCTGAGCCAACACGGATCACCTGGGATTTGCCCATCAGATCTCCATGGGATGGGATGTGCACAGATGGGGTTAAATCTGATTCAGAAATGGGCAGGAATAAATCTATTGGGGGGGGGTGGTGGGGAGGAACAGAGGAAAAATAATTTGCTTTTTCAAGTTAGTACCACTTCAGAAATGAAAATTAAAACCATTTCCCTTAATTTTAAACTGTTAAGTGCCTAATTCACTTCTTTAAAGGAAACATAGATAAAGTTGTATTATTCCCTCCCTATAAAATACTTCATGCTATGCTAGATGTTAGCTGCTGGATATGAACATTTAACTTTCCAAACCCTTACTCAAACATTTCTTCCAGATCAGACATCACATTAGACTATAAATCTGAGCATTTCTACAAAAAGGGAGAGAGATTTTCTCAGATTTCCACCCCACCCCAACAGCTCTAAAAAGCACAATGTTAAACTTTTAAACATTTATAGCGAGTCAGAGAGAGGAAAGTTAACCACACAGCTCATTGGTTTGGGCTCACCAGGAAAGACTTGCACTTCAGTCCCCTTTCCAGTAGCTGTTTCATCATGCAAGATGGAAGAGCTTCAACAGAGGGCAATGAGCACAACCCATGTCCAAATTCCCTACAGTCCTGTGTAGGGACTGCTGTTCTTGGAGTGGGAATCATGAGTGCAAGCATTCACTTTAAGTCAGGCATATGTGTGCCTTCTAAATGCCAGAGAAGGGAATGCAAGAGCATAGGGTACCAGAGGGCCTTCATCACCATCTCTTGCCTTACACTTTACTGTGAATACTGCCATTTTTTTCCACAGAACTTATGCCCGTATGTACATTTTAGATCAAACATAATTGCTATCAGAATTTATTTTTTGCGTGCAGAAAATGATGAAATATTAGGGGGGTTATAGTTTGATCCACATTGGTTTTTTTTATATAAGGATTATCTGAATCATTGGCTATCTATCCAAAGAAGAGGTTTTTCAATAATATTTTGCTTTAAAACAGAGCTAAGTGATACCTCGTACTATTTCTCTCCTAAAATAATGTATTTGACAGGCAGGAACCAAATTCTAAGTCACATGACTAAAACCAAAACTGTACATAAATATAAAAACACACAAGTCTAGCTTTTATGTCTCAGTCTGTGATTTTGCTTCACTTGACAATGACAAACCCCTTTTTCTCTCATCAAGTTTCAACCTAGAAGGTCCTCATTGATTTGTCAATTCTTCACAGAAATTTCAGTGAAGAGAAAAGGAAAATTTCTTCTCTTTCCCCTTACTGTTATCTGGTTTCTAATTACTATTAATAAAAGAAACAATCAGTATTACACAAAAAGAAAGCAGTCTCTTTTAAAATCAAGGGAAAAAAACAACAAAACTTACAGTTACAAATAAGTCCATAGCCAAACAATAGAATTTTTACCTGTCAACACAACTTCCATTTCTCTCAAGTAATTTTCACTTTTTAAAAATATTAGTTCACCTTTGTTTAGGTTTTTTTATTTGTTTTTGTTTGTTTGTTTTCTCCAGAGATGGTCCTTACGATTGTCAATTGACAGCGGGTTTTCAACACGCCTTTGTGTTATTCTCAGAGTTTAAATGGAAGAACATATAGAAACATCTTCTGCAGATGAAAAGGAAGGAGCTGGACTTTCATTACTGTTTTTTTTGTTTGTTTGTTCTTACCATTCTGCACTTTCTAAAACATCTTTCATAGACTAGACTTCCTTTATTATACCTGTTTCAGCACTAGATGGTAACACTATGATTTCATGCATTTTTATATGAAGTATTTGGGGACTTTTCCCATCCCACCTGGCTGTAACTCCACTGAAACAGCAATAGACAATTGTCTAGGAGACATCCATATTGCTTTATGTCTAATGAGGATTTCATCACTCTTCCACTCACAAGAATTGTGCACGGTCCACCACAGTTGAGTTTCTTCCTCCACAGCCTTAACCTGCTCTTACCTTGTCTCCTATAGATAAATGTAGCTGGCTCTTTGAGTAAAACCCGGCAGCTGTGTCCTTGCAGGCCATGTGTGCATATCTGCGTGTCAGGGTAGAAAAGGCATCTTACTGCTGAAGGCTGGATTTCCAGCGTAACCACTGTACATGACTGGTTCTTTGAACAAGCTGTGAGGTGAAACGTGAAGAAAAAGAGCAGGTGAAAAAATGTATTCTCCAAGTGATTTGTATGACATTGTTATAAGATGCTTAAAAGAAAGGTTTTACAATGGTTGGACTGGATTAGTGGTTGGACTGGATGATCTTAAAGGTCTTTTCCAACGTAAACGATTCTATGATTCTACAACAGGTCAAGCAAAAAGGATAAGAAGCAGCTCTAAAGCAGAATAATGGGATATAAATGTCCTCAGATTCCCGGAACATTCTCCAAAATAGCCAAAGGACAAAAGGTTATATTGGCTTTAAAATGGAGCAATACGGCAAGAGAACTGGTATCACAGGTATTAGGAGGAGAAAACTTCTTCTAACAAAGTACTGAGGATCTCAGCTGAATTCAAACAGTCCCCAGGGAGCCCCAGGGAAAGGTTTCAGAATAAGAAAAGTGATCCTCTCACTCATCCCAGTTTGTACTCAGAAGTGGGTATCCAACACTTTTCCTTTAGAAAGGCTCCTTCAAACAGTTACAGGAAAAGGAAAAACCAGTAAGTTACACTGCTCACCCTCATAAGGTGAGGACCATCTACTGCAAAAAGTGGGACCATTCCGAGGACCATCTTCTGCAGTATGTGAGAACTTTTCCTTATTTCTACCACTCTGTAGCACTGAGGATTTGCCAGTCATGTGAAGTTAAAGGACTCTTTGCTGTCTAATCTGGCTATTGATTAAAGCAGTTCCTTTTGTTGTTACTACAGCCCAACCCCTGCTTCATCCCAGCTCTCAGTTAAAGTTAACCTGCTCTCACTCACCACAGCTACAGGTTAGTTTAGATAATGGTAGGTGGCTCTACCATCTGTGTCACTCAATGAGCTTCTCTTAACTGTTCTTTAGAAAATAATGACATCATTCCTTGAACTATTTCGCTACAATATTTTCCAAGTTGTACAATGCCTGGAGAAGCAAGAGATCTCTGCACCCAAGAGGTGTCAAAATTATGTAAACCCTGTATGGCATTTTTTGTCTATTGTATCTTTCATTAGGAAAACTATTTCAGGTCCCTTGTCTCAAATTCAGAAACACTGGGGTAGTCTTTAAAAATAAGTAAAATCAGTGTGTCTTTGTCAGAAGAGGGTGGAGAGCTGTTCTTGATTTTTCAGGACCACAAGCCAGTACTTAGTGTAAAGCTATGAATAACTATTTCTTACCGGATAGACAGAAGTCTCTAGCAGTGAAGAAGTCATTCGATATATCTCTACTAACTTGCACAACTTCAAAGTTTGAGATGGATGAATCCATGAGAACAGAGGATACATTTAAGGGTTGCCATATATCTGAATACTCTACAAAATGAACCATACAAAAATAATATAACTAGAAGAATCAGTAAAACTTCAGAGGAAAATAATATAGAAGTATAAGCACTGGGGAGTTCCCCAATGAAAGACTTTCACCTTCCTTTGTATCAACTTGGAATAAATGAAATATAATATTCAAAGGTTTCTGGTTGACTAGAGGGTCCAGTGCCATCTTCAGAGGTCATGTACAACTAGGTTTACAATGGTATTCAGTTAATAAAGAGGTAAATCGGGAGCAGCTCCATCCAGGTTTCCATGTAAATCCAACTGATTTAAATAAAAGCTTTCTGAACAGGCCTAATTACATTAAAGGACACGGGTCATTATGCTTCCACATGAGTTCCTGAGCAGGTACATTCACTAACTCCATGGAAAGCAAGTACGGATCCTGAATGTGACTGAGCACTCCCAGAACCTTCACTTCCCTTACAAGCAATCGACCGAACTCCCACAGAAGCACAATGCAATTTTCACAGATTTACAGACTTTTTTTTTTAAAGGTCACAAGGATTATTTTAATTTGATTTCATGGACAGAATTACATGAAAGTCTATGAACTGTTCTAATGTTACGTAACTGCTAAATAATTAAGATTTAATTCTATTTCATATGTATATATACACATGTGTATATATACACATGTGTATTTACAAATATATACAAACATATATATTTACATATATACATGTACACATGCATGTACATGTGTGAACATATATATACACATACATACTGACTCTAGTATTCATCAAGAATTATTCTTCTGTCTCACAGTGGATTTAAAAAAAATGCCACAAACATTCCTTTCTCATACATGAACAGATAAAAATATCTACAGGCTCTCAATTTGGCACACAGAAGTCAAAAAAGAAGCCTTGGGAAAGAATGGGCCTTTAATTATTTTAGTTCCTTTCAACAGTTCAATATGTTTTAAAAGCAAAAGGGCCCTGCTGTGGCCATCGAGTCCTAAACAGGAGGCTGGCATTACCCTCTCCGCGTAATTGTAGGGTGAGGACAGATCCGAGTCAGCTGTTGCCTTGCTATTCCTGGTGAGCAGATCTTGCCCTGTTGCTTGAGTTCATTTACCACACAGGTGCAAATGTTGTGACAGTTCATTTCATTAAAGAGTTCTTTTAGTCTTCTGAGAAATGGGTGACTAGCAAAGGGGGCCAAAGTTTCCTTCCTTCCCCTCCTTGTGAGGAGGGAAAGATAGCTGTAACCATACCACTGAACATCAAATCTGAAGCTGAGGTCTGGAGTTCATACAAACAGGGCTGTGGCATGCCCTCCCTGCAACTTGGAAATCCTGGTGTTGACATACTTGTTCAGTTGATGAGAACCCAAGCCCCAAAACAGACCACAGACTAGCCTGGTTGCATCATTCCTTGAGCAAATAGGCAGAGAATAGCAATGACTAAATTAGATTTCAAAATTATTTTATTCCAAATAATTCATGACAATACAGCGTAACTGCCACAACCCAGGGCTCTATGCTGATGCTAAAAGTCTTTGCTTTCACAAGGTAAATCTTTCCCAAGATGTGTAAACCTCAAGCACGGGTTATCTCCCAGAGGACAAGCTGAAAAAAACTGATGTGCTACCGCCATTGCCAAGGCTCTTACCTTAGTGCTAGCTCCTTTGCTCTCACCCTTGCTGAAGAAAACATCTAATAGAGTGATGAACCGACCTACTGTACTCCATATACCTTCCCAAACAGCCCAGCCCTTGTTCAAGGCTGTGAACTAGAGGCAAGAAAGCAGCACTGGGTCCCATGGGTCCTTTTCAACCACTTCAAAATCATTCTATTCCTGTTATATTTGGGAGCAACTCTTCTAAGAGATATAGGCTGAAAGTCTACAGCTAAGTGGAAATGAATGTTAATTTGATATTGCACTGTTATATGTTAAAGACCACAAGCTTACTTAATATTGCAGAGTAGCAAAGTCAGCAGCAGCACTATATTCAGAGGGAGTCTTCCTAGTAAGGAAGCAATGTCCCTGCAACCACAGCTTGACTTGTGCAACAGACCCACTGCACTTAATTTTTTCTTCCCCTTAAGCACTGAGTATTCAATTATTTTAGAGGAACAGTGATTTTAGTCATATGGAAATTACTACATTTCATATTTTCAATGGTTTCTCTATTCTAAAATCATCTAATATGACCTGTTACATGATACATGTTAGAAAATTTTAGCCTCTACATGTAGGGTGACAGTTTGTGGCATATATTTAGAAATATACTTAAAAATAGAAATCAACTCTCTAAGTGATGGAGACTTAACCATTACATCCCCTCCAGAGTTTATCTGCCTGCACTACTAGATCCCCCTTGTCTTACTTTTCCAGATTATATCTTGTCAGTTTATGTTTTCAATTATTTCTTAACTCTTTTTTCTGAAAACATGAATAAGAAAAGATTTTTTTTTTTCTTATCAGTATGACTTAAACTTTGTTTTTACGTAAGAGCAGTGTTGCCATCTTGCACTTTGTACAGTACTAGTAACTGAGGTCCTACTACTGGAACAAGTAATCTCTCTAGGTTTAGAAATAAAGCTTCAAATTACTAGCTGTGGTTCTTTAAAAAAAGAGCCTTGTCTGGATTCCATTGTAAGTCAACAAGTCTGGGTGCATCAGTGGTTTTGGAAGATATTTCACCAGACTGACTCTCTTCCCATAGCTTTTCTGACTCACTGAGTGACCTCGGGCAAATCTCATAATCCTCATATGCCTCTGTTTGCCCACAGGTCAAACATTCAGAAGAGTTCTTGCTAAGCAAAGTTCTACTCTCTCAGGAAAGAAAGGCAAAACAATTCCACAAAAGCACAATAATTTCCTTGGATTTACACCTCCGACACGAATTTGGCCTCCTGTATCTATTTCCCTGAGGTTTACTAGCTTACCGTTATTAAAATCTTTTGAAGGTGCTCAGATTAAGCTTGTGAGTGCACACTGCCATTATTAGGTACATGTAATGTGTTCTACATTTGATCACAAGCTAAACTTCCTACTTCTACATTACAAGACTTTTATTTTATCCTTTTATGTGGGTTAGAGTCAAGTTAATAACGTTCATTTTATACATGAGACACAAATACATGAGACAGAATGGGCACTTTGCAGCCCATGCTAGGTACAGAAGAGTGACCACCCATGATGCACTCATGATCGTACATTCATACCTAAAACACATTTTATTTTGCTTATTCTTTGCCCCGAATCTCACAGAAGTGACCCCTGCAACCTCCCACTACCCACATGGGGTTGTTTTTTGGGTTGGTTTGGGGTTTGTGGGGTTTTTTCTTTTCATTCTCAGTGCTGGATGAAGCATTCATAATCTCAGATCAGATTTATGTACTGAGACTTCCAGTGTTTTCCCTTTCTGATCTTGTGCCCAGCTGACCCCAGATGCAGATAAATGCAAAACCACTAATGCTTATTTTAATGACAGAAAAAGCCCTTTAACCCAGAACCTTCCATGGCACCACTATGGACATTGCCAGCCAGCAGTTAGCTGAGAAAGAGATTTTGGCTATTAGTTATTTCCTTCTTCCCTTCTCCTGGCAGCAGATCCAGCAATGCTTGCAGCCATGCACACCCGCTTCATTACGTGGGCAAAACAGAATTTTTCATGGCTGATCTAAACTTGCCTTGTCTAGAAACTGCTCTCACATGGCACACAGCTACAAACTGGCACTGTTTTACTGAAAATGCATAGTGCACCTGATGGGCTGGAAGACATTTCTGGTTTATATATAGGTTAAGCTCTGACCTTCCAAACCACATTTTGGCAAATGCTTTGATTGGATAATTACAGCTCTCTGAATCCAGTCAGCCCTGTAACTTTTATTGCAAAATTATAGATGTCCCATACAGAGAGCCTCTCACTTCCAGATGTTCTTGTTTGGGTAGGCAAGGTTTAAGACTGGATTTGCAAAAGGACTCACACTGGCCTTACTCTGTTTCCATTCAAGTCGTAGGATCACAAGACTGGAATAGATTTCCTGGGGGCACAGAGTTCAACCTCCCACTTTCACAGGCAATGACATTATAAAATCCTTTTAATAAAGTCAACAAAAGTTTCATCATTGGCTTCAGTGGAAGCAAAGAGGGGTCAGTTCTGAGTTTGCTGGAAAATTTGACATTTGATGTAAGGAAAAAGATACACAGAAGTGCAATAAAATAACAAATTAAATTTAGAAGAAAATTCTTGAAGTTGAGGAGGTACATATATCAGATGAGGTTAACATGAGGTTAAGCAGGTACATAAATCAGATCTCTGGGTCTAGTATGCCTAATTTATGTTTGAAAGACAAATTCTGATCTTAATTCTGAAATTTGTGAGCCATACTTAATAGCCCTCACTCAAGCCACAAATATATTTACAGACTGAACTCAGTGCTTTATATTCCTAGCGTTCAGAATTTTTTTTCCAATGAAGACTGCTAACCTGTCTGTATACCAACAATCTCCAAAACCAGCAAATCTCCAACTCAGAGTGGACCTGCAGAAAATATACTCTTTCGAAAATATAGTTGCTTTTCATTTTTGTCCATCCACTGAGGTCTGAATAATTCAAAGTGAGTAATTTTCCTAAAACTGCTGCATAATAACTACAATCACACCTCAGACAAACAGGTTGCAAACTAAAAATTGTGTTATTTATGGCCTTCAGCAGTGAGCAATCTTGCTATGCTGATGTTAAATGCAAGCTTTCTGCCTCCTTCAGTAGTGCCAATTATAGTATATGGTATAGTAATAGGATACTAAAAAATGTACCAGATATTTATCCAGGTTTAAAATGAGCTGTTTTCAAAAGGTTAAATCCTCATGTTTACAAACAGAACTTAAATGAACAAAAATAACTTAAGACTTAAGATAGAGTAATTCTACACCAGAGGTCCAATATACTGTACAGAGGCACAGTAGATCAGTTCCTGAGGATGGATAAAAAAGGCTGTCTTTGTTTCACACCAAAGATCTCTC